ATCACATTGTTATAAAGAAACCCACCAGGCAGGGGGCAACCCAGTTGGCTATTTACAAGCGTGACCGAGCATTTCAAGACAGGGCTACCGTGAAACAACTCCAGGTAGTGGTCAGTCCGACGCGCTGATGACTGGGCCACGCTGCCTCCGTTGGATAATTGTATAGTTGTAATTATTATTATCTGCCCTGAAGGGTGACATTGAAGTTAGAAGCGGTAAATTTACCTGCCAAGAAGGCTGATATTGTAGTAATTTAACAGCTGGGGCCAGTGCCGTTGATAAAGACCTTTCCACAACTCAACAGACGGAGGTTTGATGGGAAACTCTGATCTCCTCGTTCTTGCAGATTCTCTCGCACTTTTCCATCTTGACTGATTGCTACTGTCCTCTACTCCCTGGGTAAATCTGATTTTACTGTCTTCAAACTTTGAGCTGGAATTCGCCATGTTCGCATTTTCAGCTGCTTTGTCAGAGTTCTTCTGATTTTCGGATGTGTCCAGAGATTCCGAACCAGGGTAGCTCAAGATGTAGATAAAATAGAAAAAGACACATACCTGGAGGACAAAACAGAGGAACAAAAAATGACACAAATATTAGTTTAAAAGTACTCTTTAACGTCACTGCATTAGCACCAACTCTTAGTATCTGGCATACATGCCAGAACAAAAGGTCTCCGTAGGGCTACCCCTGTTTGGAAGATGTCTAAAACTGGATTTGAAAATTCAATACTGATGAAGGGAGCAAAGAAAACAAATTTTCAGGCTTGCGCAAACTCTCACTATGATGTACTAGCCCGAAAATCATTCTCGCTAGTAGCCCACAATTAAAGTTCGTCTCTTACGCTGTTTCTGTAATTTGAATTTCTTGGAAATTTTCCCCAACAAACTTCACTTGCCCATAGGGCAAGTGATGGATAAAATCCAGTACGAGTAGCCCGACTGCAAACTCCACTAGCCCCATGCTATTGGACGCGACTTTTTGTGCACGCTGTGGTGACGCATGCAAATCAGTACAGCAACTCTGACTGCTGTGTTTTCAATTTCCGCACGATAGTAACCATCAATCAAAGGCACTACATGGATATAGCTACATGTTCCTCATCAAAAGAAACTCAGACATATCTCGAGCGTGAAAGAACTAAGTACGCCAAGTCAAAACACCTGTTTACATCATAACATAACACCCGACACACACACACACACATGATTTAAGAATGTTTTTTCCCTACCATGAGAGCTTTTTGTACTATTCTTGTTCTTGCCCAAAAGTAAGCAAAATTAAGCCTCTTGGGTAGTTTCTTGGGTAGAACTGGGCACTCCCTTGGGGGAGTACTCTGAGTATTCAGTTTAAACGGTGGCAGAGGTGGCAGCAGGCCAAAGAACCGCACTGGCTGAGGGGAATGAGGGGATTGAGGGGGACTGGGCACGGGTGATGGTGGCCTTTGAGCTGATGTTGGTGAAGTTCCTGGTTATGAGAAAAAGCACAAACAAAATGAAGTCCAGGATTATTTTAACTAACTTCTCAAACTCATTAACAGGTCATGAAGTTTAAACAAAGGAAATCATGACTGTGACCGTGTTTGTATATGATCTTAATTTAAGCATAGATTTTTACGATTTTATTTCTCTGTTTTCTCCTTAGTTTTAGTTTCAATTGAGAAGATTGTCAAAATACTCCACTGCATGTCGTATTTTCAACTCTCTTCTTAATGTTTGGAAATAATTATGGTCAAACACGACCTTTCCTGTTTGATATATTGCTTAAAAAGCACATAATTACCTGATTGTAAAATAAATGCAAGATGTTTTCTAGGGAAGTTTCGAGAACTGAGTGAAGAGTACACACTAATAACCAAAAGTTGACGTAATGCACTGAAAGAACATTGTCAATACTACTTTTCATTACCTTTCTGTGACTTATTTGATTGACTCCTTTCTCTGACCTGAATGGGCTGCCTTTGAAGATCTGAAAGCTGAAAAATGGATTGTGTCACTCTTTTCATATTACACGTACATTACACTAAAAGCAGTCTGGAGAGTGCTTAGAGCGTTCCACTCTGACCACTAAGCTGGAGTTGTTTTGTGGTAGACCCTAGTTCAACTCCTTGATAATGCTTGTAAATAGCCAACTGGTCTGCCTCCAGGTAGTTGCCTGGTTTTTTTTTAAAGCCTAATATGTTTTTTCTTTCAATTCAAGTAGCGTGCCTGAGAACTAGTTAGGCGTAACCAGGAGCATTGACCCCTTGAAACACTTAATGTTTAAGAACGTTTTTTCTTTCAGTTCACTTCTACGTACATCACTGAACGTTGTTAATTTGGATTTGCCTCCCCCCGCCCCACTAAAAGAATCAACTTAACAATTTTCAGGGCTTTATATGCCAGCGACCATCTTGAAAAAGCNAGGGAAGTTTCGAGAACTGAGTGAAGAGTACACACTAATAACCAAAAGTTGACGTAATGCACTGAAAGAACATTGTCAATACTACTTTTCATTACCTTTCTGTGACTTATTTGATTGACTCCTTTCTCTGACCTGAATGGGCTGCCTTTGAAGATCTGAAAGCTGAAAAATGGATTGTGTCACTCTTTTCATATTACACGTACATTACACTAAAAGCAGTCTGGAGAGTGCTTAGAGCGTTCCACTCTGACCACTAAGCTGGAGTTGTTTTGTGGTAGACCCTAGTTCAACTCCTTGGTAATGCTTGTAAATAGCCAACTGGTCTGCCTCCAGGTAGTTGCCAGGTTTTTTTTTAAGCCTAATATATTTTTTCTTTCAATTTAAGTAGCATGCCTGAGAACTAGTTAGGCGTAACCAGGTGCATTGACCCCTAGAAACACTTAATGTTTAAGAACGTTTTTTTTCGGTTCACTTCTACGTACATCACTGAACGTTGTTAATTTGGATTTGCCTCCCCCCGCCCCACTAAAAGAATCAACTTAACAATTTTCAGGGCTTTATATGCCAGCGACCATCTTGAAAAAGCCCAGCCTCACCATACTTTTGTTTCTACTACTAAACTGTACTTTACTTTAAATTTTGCAACTTGTTCTCGTCTTTGATCCATCTCTAGTATCAAACAGAGTTTTGCAGTTTCCAGTACGCAGGCACACCACATGTGCAAAGCCTGGATTTCTTTAGCTTTTGCATGCAATGCGGGCCTATCACATTAGACTTATTCACTGTATGGCATTGTCAGCCCTTGTAAGAGTATTTACATAAAACAAAATAATCACAGTCTAAGTACCTCCATTCTCCTTATGTCAATAGAGAGAACTGTCACAAACAGTACCATCTGAAGAAAGATGTCTGAGAGCAGGCAAACCATGGCAAAGACACAAAACTCCTGAAAAAAGGACACCCATGGGAAGATTACATCAGTTAGATCTTTTCTGTTAAGTTTGAAGAACAAAATTCTTCTACTTAAATTGCATAACAACATGGATTTGTAATGGTGCAATGCTCAATATCGTGCCAAAAGTTTTAATGTACTAGTTTCAGATGATTTTCTTATATCTCCTCACGTGTCTCCTTGTTTAAAATACTGTGTGAAAGGAGGAACAGGAAAAGGAGAACAGGAAAAGGGGAACTGGCAAAAAGGAAAGCAGGAAAAGAGGACTTAAAGGGGAAAGGGGAAAGGAAATGAGGGAACTATGAAATGAGAAGAAGGGGACAGGGGGAAAGAGCTTTAAATAGAATAAACAGCATTGAAAGATCAATAATATTGAGAGAATGTTCACACCTGTATAGCTGGTACAAAGGTGATGTAGCCACATAACAAAACAGCCATTTCTGTACACAGATTTTTGATGATATACCAGCCTTCCTTGCTCAATCCTAGAATATCATAAACCATTAATGCCATCAGTGACCACAGTCAACGTAAAGTTTAGTTGAATATATATTGGAAATAGTAAGTAACACATAAATCTCCCTAGCCTGTTTGTGTGTTTGTCTGCTGTCAGTCTGGTGGGTGGGTGGGTTGGTGTGTCAGCCAAAAAGGTGGTGGGTTGCTCAGTTGGTTAGTTGGTCAGGGGGTCATGTTGAAATGTTACGCAATGCTATCATGCAAGAGATATGAAGGCTACAGCACGGTAAATTCCAGTATCAATTTATTATAAATAATGCGTCATTTTGCTTGAGATTGAAATACCTTGTGCAACTCTTATCTTGACCTCGAGATCCACTGGGGTTGATACCACTGACTTTGTTATAACAAGAATATTTTCCACACCAACCACAATAACGAGATAAGGAAATATTTCACTGAAAAACCAAGAGATGAAAAAGGTCTTCTGATGGTTATTTTTTATGGGGTTCATTCAACTGAAAACTTACAACATTGCTGCATGGTTATTTTTATGTACATGTATTGTATAAAGCTCACAGAACTTTTGAGCCTTCTTGTTGTTCAATTGGTGGTCTTTATAACTTACAGTTAACTCTAGTAAAAACTAAGCACATTGCATGTGAACTGTTAGAGTTACAGTAAGAGACCATAAACACTCAACTTTTTTGTACTTTTGTCGACTATAGAATGAAGGCTCACTATATAATGTACAATATTGGGATGAAGAACCAAGTATTCAAGGTTCGAGTGTCCTCATTGTAATGAAATTTCTTTCAATTACTATTCAGTCATGGATTGCTGTTTCTTCTCTTGTTATACAGCCCAATGCCTCACAATTGGGCCATAAAAAGGAGAACAAACTCAGTCCATACATAACTTCTGGCATGTAGCTTGGACAAGGTTGCTGAGGTGTATATTAACTGACTTTTTGGACTCACTGGTATCTCACCTGCTATCCAGAGTGGTAACAAGACCAAAGAATGAGCATAATCCAGCAGCCATGACCAGAGATGCGATCACTGAGATGACAGCACTAAATGCCAATCCCCACTTGCTCTTAACCATCTCTATCTTACCTGCATAGACAAACATTCCTTTTATTTAAAGCTCTCAAGGAAAGGCAAATACCTTGCAATGCAATCTGATGTTTGGGTTAGCATATACATTGTACCACTCAATTATTATACATGACAAAAAAAGTTCCAGGGAAGGGGATGGTAACCTGCGTTCTACTAGCATACCATCCACATCCAGATAAAAAAAAGAAAAACAAAACAATAACTAGATTTCAACTTACCAACAGAAAATGCCAAGTAAAGAAACACTATAAAGTATGTTACACAGAGTGGAGCAAGTTCAATTAGCTCTCTATGTTCACCCTTTAAAGCAAGAGAGAAAACAGAAGAGTATTTTAAATAAGAGATTTCAACAGGAACTCTTCAGGTGCAAATTAAAGAAAAAAACAGACCACTAACTATATAAAAATAATGAAATTAATTACTCTGTTGCACGTGCCAGAGTATGGCCCTATTCTCCCAGAGGATAGAAGGAATTGAGTCAGTCAACTAGCAGAGTATTACTTATATGAATGATTTTATCAGGGAAATATAAAGAATTTTTCCAGCATGTATACCTTGTAATAGATATGTACTACACTATCCTTGTTAATGCCCTCATCCTTTTCAGTTGGGGAGGCCAGAGGAAATTCTTTCTTTAACTGATTACTCAGTTCATCTATATACCTGCAGTAAGTGAAAATGTTCAGATCAAAGACAGCGTGTTCAATATTTTGGAAATTGAAGGAAAGCAGGTATGAAAATTCCTGCTGGATGGCTAAATGCTAGCACATTTACTACAAGATGGGCCTACATGTATCTTGCCCACATGGGATTGTATCCTGCCAAATCCTGCAGGGAAAATCATTACATTTATGGTGTTCTCTACGCTCTTTGGTCAACATGACTGGCTAATTCACGTTTGGTATGATTATGGACCGCGATTGCATCTCCATAAACAAACAAAAACAGATGAGCCTATTATGCAACCTACTGACTTCATACCTGGTCAATAACCCATAATAATAGTGATCCTTTGCGAGGCCCCTTAAGCTGGAGATTGCTGGAGATTTCTGGAGATTTCAAACCTTGATTGAGTTAAAAATGTTTACATTAAGTTTACCTTGGGTCATGTGATGACAGAACTAGTGTAACTCCATACTGTATGACATGATGTGGTCCCTCTGGGATACCGGGATAGATCCCAGTCTGTTTGAGTGGCAAGCCAAGTATGAATTCTGTTGACAACATTGATAACCCTAAAAAGGAAGCAAAATCATGCAAACTGTTTGTTTTTTTCAGGCATACCTAAGACTTGCAAATCATAAAAACTCCCAAAAAAGGTGGACTGGCAATTAGGCATGCTTTGAGAAGTTTGCCAACGTCACACATTGCAATTGCATTAATTAGGCGTGAATTCGCATTTAAGCTACATTGTGTATTAACAACGAAACACAAACCAATGTTAAAAGCAGTCCCACGTCGATCAAGATACAAATCGTCCAGAACAGAGGCATCTTGTTCAAACCTGCAACACAACCATGAATCAATTACCAGTCAAAAACAAATGTTCAAGTAAAATTGTTCCAACCACTTCCACATGGACACTGTCTTTTCAGTGGTATCTATAGACAAATTTTGGCTCCCTAAGGACCTGACCATTTCTTTTATTACTGGAAAAAATTAACTCTTTAATATAGCTGCCCAATAGCCAGATTTTGTAAGTTACAATAGGTTATCAGAGGAAAAAAAAAAGAAAAAAAAACTGTCATTACAGATTTTCAAATGATGATGCTTGAGCTTAACACAAAAACAACAAAACTCCCAACAAATTCAAAGTTACAAGTAAGTAGCACTTGCCCTCTTGACCAGGCATGTTTTAAACAATTCTTTTGGATAAGGTCTAGTTGTTAACACATTTTTGCTAGTCACTCTTCCAAATGGGATTATTGTACTAAATACCTTCAAAATTAACTTCCCATCACTCAGGAGGGTGGAGTGGAGTAAGACCCTCTGCTACAAGCTCTGATATATTTCTGTGTTCTGTCTGTGTCCCCAGTAAAGCTGAACTGAGTTAAATTATTTTTGTCCCCAGCATAAACTCAATTCTTACCTTTTTATATTTCTGTCCCATAGATTAGCTGGTGACAGAAGGAGACATCCTTTAGATGGGAGATATCGTTGATCAGTCATAATACCAAGACCTGAAAGCGGTGCTGCATTGGAACCTAAATCCACTTTTAAACAAACGTCACTGAGCTCCACTGTGTGT